ATCCACAGTCCTCTAGGCAAAGGAAGGGACTTCTGCAGGCACTCCAGATCCGGAACAGTCTGAGATTTGGGCAGACTGTGCTGGGCACTCACCACAGGCTGAGGTGCCTCAGGAAGCTGCAATGCCTCCCTGCTTGCAGAAGTATTCAGTCCTTCAGACAAAGGAACGGGCTTCTGCAGGGACTCCGGATCCGCCCAGCTCCTCCTCTGCAGGAGATGGCTAGGTGCGGCTGGGCTCGGGGGTTAGTGTAGGCCCGCCCATCCATCAGGAGCTCAGCAGACTTCCAAGTGTAGCCGGGGGGGATGGGGAGGCAGCTGTAGTGGCCTCTAACCCACTGCTCCACTTCTCTGCACCCAGAAGCCTGGGGGGTCCGGAACAGTCTGAGATTTGGGCAGACTGTGCTGGGCACTCACCACAGGCTGAGGTGCCTCAGGAAGCTGCGATGCCTCCCTGCTTGCAGAAGTATTCAGTCCTTCAGACAAAGGAACGGGCTTCTGCAGGGACTCCGGATCCGCCCAGCTCCTCCTCTGCCTACCATCTTGTTTTGAAGGCCTATATTGTCATTGTTTTGGGCTCTTTGCTCTTGTATTTTTGTCTTTATTTATTTTGTTTTTCTAGTAATTTGTTTTGTTTTGTTTTTTTCCCCTCAAATACAGAAAGAATAGGTCTACATGCAGAGGCTTATACATGTGTAGAGCTTTTCCTAAACAGTTTATGAGAATCGATTATATTATATGTGATGAAATGAACAGCTACTTTGAAGCAAAAGAGACATTATGGTATTCACTGCTGATTTCCTATTGTCATGCTGTGAAATCCAGTAATGCTATGATTCTTCATTTAGAGTGATTTTAGTCTGTTTGTATTGTTTAATTTCAACATACATGAAGGTATAGACAACTATTTTGAAGAGAACAGGAGACATTATGGTAGTTATTGCTGATTTTCCTATTGTCTGGTTTTGAAGGCCTGTAATTCCTTCATTACTATGCTCTGATCAGTTTTGTACTATTTTTTTGTATGAATTCATTGTGTGTCAAGATATAGACAATTATTTGGAAGAAAAAAGAGACATTATGGTAGCCACTGCTGATCTCCTGTTGTCTTGCTTTGAAATCTGTGTCACTTACACTGTTTTTTTCTGCTCTCCTTTGTTCTATTTTCTTATGCTTTGTTTTACCCTCTTGAAGATAAAAAATAAAAAATAAAAGTAATAAGTAATAAAAACAACAATATAAAATTGCAAAATAAATCATGACTGATCTTAATTAATTGTGGTTTGTGTGATTGCTGTTTGATATTGACAGATTTTATTCAAAACGTATATGATTGATTGTATCAAGTCTGAGAGTATAGGCAACTACATTGAAGATGACAAGACTGCGATCCATATTCTCGTTTGATAACTGACTGCTTTTGATGTTTAATACTATATGCAAAGTTCTGTTTTCATTACTGTTGTGTACTGATATATTCAATTATACTATGTCTGATGATATTGCTAATTCTACTGAAGATAACAAGAGACAACACAGGAACAATGGTAGAACTCCTTGTACAGCAGTCTTATGTGTCTCTTTTGTTTCATGTGTTTATAGGCATATGTTTTGTTTGTCTTGCTTTATTTTTTTCTCCAACATCCTAGTGATTTCTTATTGTTTGTTTTTTCTTTGAAAGTATGTATTATTTCTACCTGTTTTCTGTTTTGTTTAGTCTTTCTTTAAATAAAAATTTTTAAAAAATTGAATAGAAGACAATAGGAGAGTAATGGTTAATACATTGCATTATTAAGACAATAGGAGAGTAATGGTTAATACATTGCATATAGCTATCTTTCAGAAAGTTTCTCAGATTATAAGACATAGTCATGAAAAATTGATCAAACTATAAGCACAAACTTACTTTTCAATGAACTAATAGAAATTAGTTGTTAAACATTTTTATATATATATAAATATCTTTATTTTTCATTTTCCATTCTTTCTTTTCTCCTTTTCCCATCCCAGTTTCTCTTTCCTTGAGATACTTGGATAAATGTCTTTACTCAGTTATAAAAAAACACTCATTTTCTTTCTAACCTTGAATCTGTTCTTCTGTGATTAGTGTTCTGTACAAAACATGCATATTTAATATAAATATTACACATGTAAAATAATAGATCTTACGTCTGAAAGTAGTAAATAATATACTGAGATGATTTAGTTTGAAGGAACACTGCCTTAAATAATTAAGAAAACTTCCAAGAAGTAAAGTAATTGTGATGCATCTTTACTTGCTCTGATGGTTGTTTATATTTCACTGTTTCCCTATGCAATAACAATTCTCTAATAGTGTTTAATATTTGAGAGAAACTGGCAGGCCTTTAGCACCGTTCCAGTTACAATTTTACCTCAAGGATTTGTATCTGTGGTTTCACACCCAATCTCCTTCCTCCAAAAGGAGGAACTTTATATATCAGTAAAATATTTCTCCCAGTATCACACTATAAGTGATAAGCTAAAGTTCAATAGCAGTGACCTCTTCTTAAGCCTAAAATCTCCTTAGTAAAGCTAGATGCAAAAGTCCTCAGTAGGACTCTGGCAAGCAACATAGAACACGTCATCAAAAAGATTACATGCCATGACCAAGCAGGATTCCTCTCAAGTATGTAGGCATGATTCAACACAAACAAATCAACAAATATAGTTCACTACATCGACAGAAGTAAGCACAAAAGCTTTGTGATCATTTCAATACAGGCACTAAAAGCACTTGACGAAGTCCAATACTCATTCATGATAAAAAATCCTATGGAAAGTCTTTATCTCAATATGATGAGAACCATCTATGATAAGCCAGCATGAAGCCTTTGACTAAATGGACAGAAACTGAAGGCATCCATTCTGTAATTGGTAACAATAGATGAAGATGCTCACCACCACCAGTCCTGTAAACATAGTTCTGGAAAAAATTATCCAAAAGCAATGAGACAAGAGAAATTAGTTACCAAATAGCTAAAATAAGACACAAAGTCAATATTAAAGATCAGTAGCATTCCTGTTTACAAATAACAAACTCACTGAGAGAGAAACTAGGAAAACAATACCTTTCACAGGATCATCAAGGAAAAATGAAGTACTTGGGAATCAATATAGTGAAGGAAGTGTAGGAGCTTCCTATTAAAAAATGCAGTACTCTGAAAAAGGAGGTCTAGCAGAATGTTAGAAGATGAGAAGGAATTCCCTGTTCTAGGATAGGCAGAAAAAACTACAGTGAAAGTAGCCATACTTTCAAAACTGATATACAGAATTCATGCAATGTGTAAACCAAAACTCAGAGAAATGGTGAAAACAACCCTAAACTCCATCTGGAACCAGAAGCTATTGAGAATAGCAAAATCAGTTCTGGGCAACAGAGGCAAGGCAGAGGGCATCATAATCCCTGATATGAAATTATACTAACAAGTCACATTGGTAAAAACTGCAGAGTACTGTCTCCAAAACAGACTGAGAATCAGTGGAACAAAATAGATGATGTAGAATCAACTCCCAAGTGGACTGCAGCACTGTTCATTATGGCTAAGTTTGGGTAAAAATCCCTAAATGTCCATGACAGAAAAACTGATACATACTATGTGGCATATGCGATAGTTTGGTTTCAAAACAAAGGCAATTCTGCAATGTGTAACCATATGGAAGATCTCTCTTTTTGTATTGCCAATAATCCCTTGGAATCACCTCACTAGATCAGAGCAAATGGAGACTGCACATTTACTCTCCAAAGGAAGTCAGCAGACTACAAGGAGTCCAGAGATAGAATCACATCTCTAAGTAGAGAAAAACTGTATGCATTTCTCATGAGTATAAATTTAATACTATGCTTCTGATGGCCAGAATTAAATCTCTTCTTTTTATAATGGTCTCAGTTAGACTTCTGTGCTCTTGCAAACTTAGTTAAATGGATATTTCTCCAAACATAGAAACATAGCAAATTTCTGTTTGCCACATTAATGATTTCAATATTTCCTATGAATCAGAAGCATAATCACAATAAGCTGGAATCTGCTGTTTCTAAACCTTCATTTAGTACACATTGAAATGCTTTTTCTGTGAATATTAATAGCCCCATACAAATCCACAATAATATGCTTTTTAACGAAATTTTTGTTTCATTATTATGTTTGTGTGTATTAGGCATGAGTGTAGATTTTCAATCTTGCCAAATTACTTTGCACTACACTTAGAGTATAGGTATCACATTTCTTAAGTGCCAGTTAGTGGTTATATTTTTAAAAAAGTGAGTTTCAGCTGGCACAGTGGCACAGCCTAATTTCACCTGATTGGAAGGCTAAAGCAGAAGGATCCCAGGTTCATTGCCAGCCAGCACAATGTAGTGAGATCACTGTCTCAAAATTTCAGAAGGTTTGAAGCTAAAACTCAACATTAGACTGCTTATCTAGCATGCTCAAGGCACTAGGTACAACCTCTAATACTGCACATAAATAAGCAAAGTAAGAAAAAAGGGAAGGAAAGAAAGAAAGAAAGAAAGATTTAAAAAAGAAAAAAATAAAGACAGAAAATAGGAAACTTTCTAATGACATATAGAAAAGTTGGAAGTATGATCAGCATGATAGTCAGAATTGTGGAGTAGAGGAATAAAATTCAAAATATGTGGGAAACATTCAGCAAAGGCCAGCAAAGGCAAGAAGCAGAGAAACACATGGAGAACACAGGCTCCAAAAGTTAGAGCGGGCTCGTGGAAGCAGGATGAGGTGAAGAGCTAGTAATGTCTAATCAGGGAGCGATTAGTGAACTGAGAGCTCCTTGGCAGAACCTAACCAGACGATGAAAAAAACGAGGAGTCACGTGGCCGGGCATGAGTATCTCCCATGCAATTCCAACTTCATGCTCTGGGGCCTGGTCTTTCTTTGTGACATAATACTTTTCTGAAAGACATTAACTTAGGCTCATACATACATTTACATAGGCACAAGTAACAGCAGTAAGTAAAATAAAACTCACATTTGTTGATCTGTGGATTCACCATTTCTGGGAGAGTCAGTTTAAGGTCCAATGCAGCTGCCCTGGGAATTCCAGCTATTCCAAGGGAATTCCAGGGGAATCCGATGCCTTTGGGGCCCTTGTATAGGCACAGAGAGGGTGTTGTACCACCCGAGGCAGAGAGAAGCTTGTCTCACAAGCCAGGTTTTCCTTATGAGATCTGTAGCCAAATGGGATATGGAGGGTGGACCCTGGACCTCACAGGAGAATCATAAAACCATAATTCATTGCAAGGGTTCATGTGCTCATTTGAATACATGTGCAAATAAACACTTGTGTGCACAGATCTCAACTGATAAAGACAGAACACCTTTCTGTGGGATTTTTTTTCTTTGTCAAAATGAAGCCCAGAAGACTGTGCTGAAGGAGGGAGAAGCTTTGTGTTTACTTGTAATTGAAACTGTGCTAAGGTGGCCGCAGAGTAAGCATTTGACTCTGGGTTCCTTTGTTTCTTCCCAAATTACCCACTGATTCAAGCCCTCTGTTCCAAGATGCTTCTTCTGCAGATTTATTAACTTTCTATTATCAAGTCCCTCATCTTACTGTACTTATTTATCATACTGAAGCTAGATTCTGCAAAAGTATATTTTTTTGTCTTTTTGAGATGGAGTCTTGCTAGGCAGTTCAGGCTGGCCTTGAGCTCCTTTGTAGCCCAGGCTGGTCTTGATCTTGCAATGATCCTCTTGTCTCAGCCTTCCGAGTGCTGGGATGACAGGTGTGGGCCAGCACACCCCAGAAAAATATACTCTTTTGTCTTTCTATAGTTTATATTCCCCACGAGGCTCTCTTCATCATTTATCATTTGATCACATGAATGCTATATTTTTGTATGAAATGCCACCTGCCCCAGCCTGGGGAACACTCTTCCTGGCCTGGGGACCAGGCCACGGTTCCCTGCCGGGTCCAGTGAGTGGGGCCACCACAGGGAACCTCATCCCAGGCTGGTGGAACTCTCTCCCACACTTGGAACAATACTTGAAGCTCAAAAATACAGGAAAATGACAAAACAAAAGACCAAAATGCAATCTCAAACATCCAGCCTATCCCAGGAAAGCCTAGGAGCCATGTGCAGAGAAGAAAACAAATGCCACATAACTGAAATACCTGAAATAATTATAACTGAAGTAAAGAAGCAACTCTGGTAAGCCTTAAAGGAATTCAAACTAGAAATAATCTCTCAGGTAAAAGAAGAAATGATAGAAGAAATTCTTGTATGAAATGCCACAATGGAAACCAGTAATTTCTATAATTAATAAGTACTAATAAAATGAGAATAATTTCAGTCTGTTCATATCTATATCTTTCAATTTTTTGAGATAAAATTTGCATGAATAAAATATACTACTTAAATTTTTAAAATATTTATATTATACAACATCACAATCACTACCCTTTCCCACAAGTTTTCCCCACCCCAGTAGACACCCCATATGAGTTAACAGTTTCTCTTACTCTCTTCTTTCCTGGTGAACATCATCTATTTTCTGTATTTACTCATTGGCCTATTCGTGACATTTTGTATAAACATGATGTTTGTATCTAATTTCTTTTACTAAGCATTCTTTTAACACAGTTACATATTTTTCCATGTATTAGTTTACAACAATCCTTTTTGTAGTGAAATAATTTGGCATTGTATGAAATATGCCAATTATTGTTAGTCTATTTATCTGATAATGGACCATTGGGTTCTTTATACATTTTGGCATCATAAAAAATAGTGCTCTGAACATTTACACATTTTTTTTGCGAATCTATGCTGTTGTTTAAAATATTAGACCAGGGTCTAATATGAACCAGGGTCTTCCAAATCCTACGCAAGCATTCCTCTACTGAACTATGTCACCAAGGTCATAAGCTCTGAAATCTCTTGGATACATACATGACTTGAGTGGAATTGTAGAATCATATGCAATTCTATATTTAACATTTTTGATGAAATTCCAAATTATTTCACATGGTTCTTCACAATGATCTTTTCCTCACCAGGCTTATCTCCCTTTTTCTTGGGGGGGGGGAATGTGGTCTTACCTTGTGGTTTTGATTTAGTTTTCTCTAGTGAATAATGAATGTTGTGAAATGTATTTTCTATGCGTATTGCATATTTACATATCTTATTGGAAGTAATATTTATTCGAGTCCCTACATTACTTTTAAAATTACTTCCAACATGATAAAGCTAGTTTACAAAAATATATGCAATTTGGTAAATATAGATATATGTAAATATTCAAGTTGCCTCAACATAATTAAGGTAATAAACATATTCATCACATCTAATAGTTTTCTCATGGCTTCTCCATATTTGTGGGGGCACTTTAAAAGGACACTACACTCTTACTAAGCTTTTTAGTGTGTGACAGCTTTTTAAAAACTATTGGATACTATGTTATACAGCAGACCTCTGGAAGTCACTCATTGTTTGACTATAGATTTATGCCCATCATTAATATCCCTCACTTCCAATCACGTGGTGTTCACATCTCTATTGTGTACTTCTGCATCAGTGGCTATTTTAAAATTTGGAAACTACCCTAATACATGGAAGGTAAACAAATGACTATGGGTACCAGGGATCAAACTCACGACTGCACACTTGCCAGGCAGGTGCTTACAGCACTGAGCTAAATCCTTGGCCAACAAGTGAGTTTTGAACAAGCTGTGTATCAAGAAAGGAATCAGGAAGGTTACTACTTGTTTCAGTGTTAGAAGGACATAATTTTCTCCAGAAAAGTATGCCAATCAGAAAACTCCAGAAAAATACAACAAAGCAGAGCCATACTAGCCAGGGTAAAATGAACCAATGAAAGTCAGTGTCGGCTAGCTGTAGCACTCCCAGGAATATTTCCCACAAGAGTTAAAACAGCATCCTCTAATATCTTGTAATTCCTATGCTTATTTCAGCAAAATTCACTAAGCTTAGTTGTAAAAACAACCCAGAAGCTATCATCAGGTGAGTAGAGACAGAATAGGTGATGCATACACACAATGGAATATCATGCAAGCATAAAGAAGGATGAAACAATTGTTATTTACTAGAAAATGAATGTGACTGGGGATCATAATGTCGAGTGAAATAAGCCAGACTCAGTTAAATATTGTATGTAATTCTCCTATGTGAGAGCCAAACCTGCAGATGGCTGCAGCCCAAGTCAGTGGCTGTACTGCCACCTATGGGAACCATGATCCAGGCCTCCCAGCTGAGCTGCTCCCCAATCTGTGACCTGTGAGATAGTATGTGTTTGGTCTTCCATGATGCTAAAGAGAAAAAGAGAGAGACTGAGAGAGACAGAGAGAGAAAGAGAAACAGAGACAGAGACAGAGAGAGAGAGAAAAGAGGTGAGAAACAGAAGTAAAAAGGCCTTTTATTGAGGGGACAGGAAGGCTGCTGAAGAATGCAGGCACCCTCTAGAATCTTTAGGGGGAAAGAACTGTGGGCTTTATTTGGAATTGGACAGGTGCCGAGTTAAAGGGGTGGGTGGAATGACATTAATGCTGACAGGAGGAGTCATTGCGCATGTGAGAAAGCAAGCATTTTGACTTGTGGGTTGCAAGGAGACACTGTCCAGAGCCAAATAGAGCCTTCACATGGGAAAAACCAATCAATACACTTTTGTTATTTTAAGCCTCTCAGTTTTAGAGTACTTTATCACTCAATAACAGTCAACTAATTCACTAGGACTGTGTCATAGAAACTTGGCTCTTTTCTGGATTACAGTGCTACCTGTCTCACAGCATGCATGGAGGATTGGGTCCAGATGCCACCCAGGTACAAAAATATATGATTCTCACATTCCTCATCGAAAATGTAATATTTGTACAACTTACATCCAACCTTCTATATATATATAAAGTCATATAAAGTTACTTCTAAAATCTAATGCAATGCAAATGCTCTGTAAATAGTTGTTTGACTTACAGATTTAAAATCTTATTTAGGATATGAAAAACATCTGTACTCGTTAAGCACATATAAAATTTTTTTAAAAAATCATAATGTGTGTCACGTTGATGGAACCCACAGTGTGGGATCTGTAGACATTTAGAGCTGACTGTATTCACATTCTTCCATAGAATCTGACACATGCACCTATATCTCATAGTAGAAAGCACAGAATTGACTGCTTTGGCCATCAAAATTAACTTTTACCTCCTCTGACACCAGAATCTGCTACTATTTCAACAGCACTTACTGCTAAGGCATTACCTGAGCTCATAATTTCATTGCTGAATCACAGATATTTATCATGTTATAGAGAGATACTTCTTATATGTGAACTTTTGCATCCACTAAGGATAAGTCCCTTATCCTAACTGTCTACTTAAGAACAAAGTCAAAGTAGAAAGAAATTGAAAAGTGGAATAGTTACCTGAGTTCTTATGGGACTATTACTTATTTGTGCCTTCTATCTCATTTTAGCTTTCTCTTTGTTACAAATACTTTCATGTTAGACAGGATAATTTTGGACATCATGTGTTTTATCTTACGAATTTGAATTGTATATTGGAAATCAAAAGGGCAGAACGTGTTTTGAAGTCTTTTTTCTGCATAAGTGAAAAGGAAAATTTTCTTCATTTTTCATTAGGAGTCATGCTAAAGGGAGAAAAATTTTCTCTATTTTATATAACCAATTTAATGAGAAGGAAGAAACTAGCTCACAAAAAATGTCTTTACCCACGCTGTTTTCAAAGACTGTTCACTAAAATCTTAGGGCAGAACTTTTTATTACTCTTGCTTGAATCAGTTTTTTCAGCAGTGACAATAGAAAGCTTCTCCTTTTCAAGTTTCTTACCTTTCACACTTTAGGGAGTGAAGATTTGTATCTGGTTACTTCCCCTACCTTCTAGAATTAAAAGCATTAATTCTGACAGAGGAAGTCCCTATGCACCTGGATTGTTCTTTAGTGACATGCATAGCCCTTCTTATTTCCCTTGGGTGGAGTGAAAAGGAAGGAAAAAGTAGTTTACTCTGGAGAACTTCAGACTTCTTGCCTATCCAAATCTTACAAAAAAGTAGACTTTTCTCAAACCCTGCATACTCTACAGAAACCTTGGCATTTTTGCACTCAAACCTCATGTCTTTTTGAGAAGTACATGTTT